CATAGGTTAAATGGTTGTGGTTGTTGGAAATCAACCATCTCAACCTCAGGGCATCGGTGCAGGAGTTCCCAGAGTAATGCCCTAAGTCTAACCATTTTCAGGTGCTTCCCTCCATCATAGAGTTAGACATGGGGATCTTTGTTGATGACTGCACAACTGTCAGCACCATTCACGACTCCGCAGATACTGAAGAAGTACAATGCTTAATGCAGTAATACCTGAACAACAGCAAGCAAATCACACGCCATACAAGTGCAAGACATTGACCATCTCCAATAAGAGGCAGTGTAACCAGTGTCCTTTTACATTCATCACTGTCATCAATGAGTTACCTAATATCAACATTACCATTGACCAGAAATTGAACTGGACCATATTATGTAGCTACAAAGACAGATCAGAAGCTAGTGCAACAAGTAACTCACCTCCCGGCTCCCCAAAGCCTGACCACACTTACAAGGCATAGAGTGATAGAACTCTCCTCATTTGTCCAGATGAGTGAACTCCAGTAACATTCAAGAAGCTTGATACCGTTTGGGACCAAGCCGCCACTTGATTTGCACCAGATCCACACACATGCACTTCTTCCACTGACAGTAGCAGCGGTGTGTATTAGCTACAAGATGCATTTCAGTCTCCTTCGTCAAGTGCTTCAGTCCACATCATGTAGGTATACCCATAGTGTAATTAGGGAGGAAGCTTCAGGACTTTGACCCAGCAACGGTGAAGGAACGACAATATAATTCCAATTCAGATGGTGTGTAACTTGGTGGAAAATTTGCAGGTGCTAGCATTCCCACGTATATGCAACCATTGTCTTTCTAGATGCTAGCCGTCCTGTGTTCAGCAGGTGCTATTGAAAAAGCCTTGACGAGTTGCTGCAATGCATCTTGTAGATGGTACACACTGCTGCCACTGTGCATTGGTAGAGAATGAAATGAATATTGAAGGCAGTGAATAAAGTGCCAATCAGGTGTTTTTGTCCTGGATGGTGCCAAGTTACTGGAGTGTTGTTGGAGCAGCAACTATTCAGGCAAGTGGAGAATATTCTATCACTCCTGACTTGTGCCTTTTGAATAGTTGACAGGTTTTGGGGAAACAGGAAGTGAATTGGTCACTGCAGAATTCTTATCTTCCGACCTACTTGTAGCCACTGTGTTTACAGGGTTAGTCCAGTTACTTTCTGGTCAATAGTATGCCCCAGGACGTTAATAGTGGGTGTTTCAAGGGTATTGAAAGTAAAGGGATGATTGAGGGAAAACAGTTTTTCAAATAGCTGAAGATGGTTGGCTCCAGGACACGACCCTGTGAAATTTCTTCAGAAATGTCCTTGCTTTTACCATGTGCTTGTTTTGGAAGCAGGATTGGCAGGGACAGAGTAAGAATCGTTTCCACAACTGCTCTGTTCTCATTTAAACCATCAGAATCAGATAGGCTAGATTTATACTTTTCAGCTAAATTCAGTACCATGGCCAGCAACAACCAAGTCAATCACACAAAGAACAACAATAGGCCATATGGCCCTTTGAGCCTGATCCGCCATTCAATTAGATCATGATTGTTCCGATTTGAATAATAACTCTATTTTCTTGCATATCCTCTATAATCTTTCATCCCTGTGGTAATCAAGAATCTATCTCTAACTTACAAAATATCTGAAGCTTCTGCATCCACTGCCTTTTATGGAAGGGAATCCTGAAGACTCAAAATCCCAACAGAAAAAAACGTTTCCTCATCTCTTAAATGGATGACCCCTTATTTTTAAACCGTGGCCCCTCGTTCTAGATTTTCGCAGAAGAGGAAGCATCAACATCCACCTGGGATATACTGCAATCAATTCTGGTCTCCCTGCTATAGGAAGGATGTTGTGAAACTTGAAAGGGTGCAGGAAAGATATATTAGGATGGTGCCGGGATTGGAGGGTTTAAGCTATAGGGACGGGCTGAACAGGCTGGGGCTATTTTCCCTGGAGTGTCGGAGGGGTGACCTTATGGAAGTTCATAAAATCATGAGAGATATGAATAAGGCGAATAGTCAAGGTCTTTTCTCCAGGGTAGGGGAGTCCAAAACTAGAGGGCATAGGCTTAAGGTGAGAGGAGAAAGATTTAAAAGGGACCTAAGGACAACTTTTTCATGCAGAAGGTAGTGCTTGTATGCAATGAACTGCCAGAGGAAGTCCTGGAGGCTACTACAATTACAACATTTAAAAAGCATTTGGATCTGTATATGAGCAGAAAGGGTCTAGAAGGATATAGGCCAAATGCTGGCAAATGGGATTAGATTAATTTAGGATCATTGATCCGCATGGAAGAGTTGGACCAAATGGTCTGTTTCCATGCTCTACATCTCTATGACTCCAGGTCCTCTCAGGATCTTATCTGTTTGAATTAAGTCAGCTTTGACTCTTGTAAACTCCACGGGATACAGGCCTAGCCACTGTCAGTGTCATTATCAGCAATAACAAGTTCGGAACTATGGAACTGTTCAAGTCCAGTGTGACATTTCTTCAGAACTAAAGTATTCCATTCCTGAATCCATTTGCAAGTTGATTTGAAATACAATGCAGGACAATGTAAACCAGCCATTCATAAGCACAGGAAATGTTTCTACGTCAGGTCCTTGAAATTACACACTTGTATGGGATCGCACTCCTCAGTACAAGTCTTTATAAGTCAGGCGTTCATAAACTGGGGACTTCCTGCATTCATTATTAGCAGTTTCTTAGAACTGGCCTCAAAAATAGTACTCATAAAAAAGCCAATCCCGCCTTGCTTTTTACCTACAGCTTTGGTCTTTAAACCCAACTTTCACACAAGTATCTATGGTAAGAAGTTGTTGCCCATTTCATTTGGTCCGTTTAAGGGTTTAATATGTGCAACTGTCAGTACCCAACTTTTAATATCTCTAATTAATCAAGTGGCACCCCCTAGGAACATAAAGTATTGCGGGATCATAAAACGTGAAGCACTTTGCAAGTGGATGTAATGCGTGGGACCAACAGAAGTGGGTGGGGGTGGCAGGAGCTGGAGAATGGCATGAGAGGTGCAGTTATTATATGGAGAGTCTTGAATGAGATTGGGTTGGCATAAGGATGGGTAGAAACGAGGGTGGATTATATGAGAGTGATGGCATGGGAAGGATGGGACAGCATGAGGTGATGATCTAGAAAGAGACACGTTGCCAAAATTGGCAAGTCAGCACCATTTCTCTTGCAACTTAACTTGTGATGTTTGTTTGAAATTTGGATTCATGCATTTATCCTGACGAGTGCAAGATGAAAAGCTCTGATATTGCATTTCTCTCTTCAGAAATATTCTAGTACTGTCACACTAAAGTTATTGTACCACAGATGCCTCTTGGTTCTCTGCTAGTTAAACCTAAGACTGAAAGAGAAATTATTAAATGAAATGCTAAAGGGATATACAGTAAGTGCCATCAATCTGAAAGGAAGAAAGGTCAGGTGCCAGGAATATTAATTGCGCTTGCAAGAAAGATGACTACTGTTTTTGGTATAACCTGCCATCAAGAGAAATGGAAAGAGAAAGAAAAAAAATGCTTCATTCTGAAAGTTTGTTCACACCACAATGACCTTTACAAACGAAGCTGGAATGCTGTCCAAAAACAGAAGGAACACCCTTCATTTATTTAACGACTGCCATGGAATTTTTCAATTATTTACTCTTTTACAGGATGTAGGCGTTGCTAGCACGACAAGTATATACTGCCCACCCCTAATTTCCCTGGAATTGAGTGGCTGGCTAGGCTATTTTAGAGGGCAAGTCAGGTAGGTCAACTGTTCTACCCTTTCCCCCAAGCCACGCAAAACTGTAAATAAAAACTGAAAGAACTGTGGATGCTGTAAATCAGGAACAAAAACTGTACTGAGAAAGGGTCACCAGACCTGAAATGTTAACTGATATTTTCTTCACAGATGCTGCCAGACCTGCTGAACTTTTCCAGCAACTTGTTTTAGTTCCATGCAAAATTGTTTTCTCTTCAGGTGCTTGATCAATTCCTTTCGGAAAGTTGTTCTGCGCAAACTTAGATGGCATTGTCAATGATCAAACATGAACATATCTTAGGCAATGTCCGCAGAGTTTTCTAGTAATCATTGCTGGTGTGATACAATATATTATCATTTTGGACTTTAAAAAAAGAAATGGAAGGAGATAGATTTTGAGTAGTCCTGTGAAGGTGCTCATTATTTTAAAAAGGTCAGAAAGTCAGTTTGGAAGAGTGACTTCAACTTATCATTTCTAGGAAGGGATGTGACTTCAGTCAACTGCCTACCAGATCCCTGCAGTGTTAGTGGATTAACTAATTAGACTGCTGAGTTTATGATGGGCAGAGTAAACAGATAAAAGCCATTAAATTTATTTTTGACTTCAGAACAGAAAGATCAAAGTGTTGGTTCAGAATAATCAAGCATTTAGTTCAGGGAACTAGTCACATCAGCAGAAGTGGTTTCTAGTCTATAAAGTTTCCAAACCAGGAGAACTTGTATAAAATTATTCAAGTTTTTAGAACTGAAAATGTTTAGGAAATCAGAATTGAGAGAGGTTCATGCCAGGGGACTTGGAAAAGAATGGTAAAACGGTCTCTGCAGTCCAAGGAAAATAAACTGAGTCAGGGTTTGAGAGTTAAAAGAGGAGGTAAATTTCTCTGGAATTGAGCATCTCTAAAAAGATTGTGTTGGGAAACAGTTTTAACACTGCTTTGCTGTTAGTGTCAGGTTTGTTTTTTGTTTTGTTAAATAAATTTCTGTCATTAAAGAACACCAGCAGCCTCATATGAAAATGTTTAGTGACTAAGCAACAATGGTAATCAACCATAAAAATTAAACATATGGTCTATCAAGCCAGATTTCATTCTGGCATGTGACCCATCAACTGGGATCAGAACACTGGCTATTCTGAAACTGGAACTCAGAAGCAGTCAATGAAAATCTCCCTCATGATTATGCCATAATCTGTAAGTATTCAAATAAAATGGTCACTTACCATGGTAGGGGGACACCCCTTTATCCACAAAGGAGAGGAACTCCTTGGCAGCATTCTGCACTGCCTCTTTCAAACCTTTCGCACTCATAGTCTGAATGATGAAAAGGAAATTTTTTAAATCAGATGCTGTCTATTATCTACCCGAAGCACCAAACAACCCTGGATTGAGTTCAAAAACAAGTGGTTAATAAATTATGGCTTTCTAGGCCTTTTGAATAGAGACATAGCATATGAAAGTGACAAAGTTATTCTGCATCTTTATAAATCACTGGTCTATCCTAAACTAGAGCACTGTGTCCAATTCTGGACACCACACTTTTGACAGCATATCAATGCTTCAGCCAGACTGGAGATTTACTAAACTGGTACAAAGTGGCATGAGGAATTAGGACAAGTTAGAGTTCTTGCCTTTGGCATAGATATTGTCAGGGAGTGAATCAGGGTGTTGTGAGCAGTAAAAGCCTTTCATAGTTTCTCAAAGGAATCCCATAATTAATAGACATTAACTGTAGAGTGCAATCCTGCCCTTATGCAAAGTGTCAAGTTATTCTTTACCAGCAAGAATCACTCACAATCAAATGTGAGCACAGTTGAGATGCATTTTTGGTAGCCATGGCCCAGTTGGTGGCACTTTCACCTTATTCAGAAAGCTGAGTATTCAAATACAATTTCAGGACCTGAGCACAAAATCAAAATTGACACTCCAGTGAAGTACTGAGGAAGTGCTGCATTGCTGGAAGTGCTATCTTTCAGGTAAGACATTAAAACCAATGTCCTAACTGTGCTCCCAGACGGATGTAGATGCTGCCTCAAAGCATGAGGGACCTGGGTTCGATTCCACCCTCGGGCGACTGTCTGTGTGGAGTCTGCACATTCTCCACATGTTTGCGTGGGTTTCCTCCAGGTGCTCTGGTTTCTTCCCATAGTCCAAAGATGTGCAGGCTAGGTGGATTGGCCATGTTAAATTGCCCGTAGTATTCAGGGATGTGTACATTAGGGGGATGGGTCTGGGTGGGATGCTCCAAGGGTCGGTGTGGACTTGTTGCGCCAAAGGGCCTATTCCCACACTGTAGGGATTCTATGATCTATGATTATTCTGAACAATCACAGTGGCTGAGCCAGACGAGAGGAATCGCTGGGGAGAGGTCGTTTTCCAGGCTTGCTTCATTTCCTGTAGAAGAAGTCCAAATGTGGCTGTCTTCAGAAGAATTGGAGTGGGGTCACAGCCCCACACACCACCCCAGCTGTGGGTGTCACTGGCTGGGACAGTATTTATTCCGTAGCTGTTGTTACATTTGCACCAAGTATCTTGCTTTGCCATTTCAGAGGGCAATGAAAAGTAGGATCCAAGAGAAAACACTGGAAGTGAATAGCAGGCCTCACAAAATGCTTAGGAATACAGCTGGCACGAAAGAAAGTCCCAAACAGAATTCAACTGCATGAATGTCATTGCATGGAGTGTGGTCAATCAGATTGGGGAATTGCAGGCACAGATTACAGTGTGGAGCTATGATGTGGTGGTGACAGTGACCTGGCTCAGGGAAGGGCCAGACTGGGTATTCCATCTTTCTGGGTATAAGGTGTTTAGAAAAGGAGGAATGGGAGCTTTGTGCGGCAAGGAGAGCAGTGCATGGCTGGAGAAGGAGGATGTCTCACAGTATTGAAGGATGGAGTCAATTTGTTGAGTGCTGTGGAATGTAAAGGGTACAGTTACATTGCTCAGTATGCTTGATTGGGGAAAAGGATGTTGAAGAACAATCTGCAGGGAACCTAAAGAGAGAGGCCTGCATTCAGTAGTAGGTTCTTTACTCAGAGAGTGGTAGGGCCGTGGAATGCATTGCCAGAGAGGGTAGCAGAGTCGGCCTCATTCGGGGCATTTAAGCGGCTATTACTATCATATGGATGATAGTATAAGGTAGGGGTGGAGGTTAGATAGACCTTAGGTTTAGGGTAAAAGTTCGGCACAACATCGTGGGCCGAAGGGCCTATACTGTTCTATATTCTATGTTCTTAATGGAAGGGAACTTCTCTGTGCCCTAGTCAATACTTTCTTCTTTCATCTTTCTATGTATGGGAAAACAGTGGGAGGACAGTGTTGAGATGGAGCATCAGCCATGATCATGCTGGAGAACAGAGCAAGCTCAATGGACTGAATGGCCCACTCATGCTGCTATTTTCTTTGTGTCTCCTTTGTCAACATTACAAAGTACTTACTTGGTCCTCGTCACAATATTGCTTGTGGGAGCTTGCTTACAGAAATTCCTGTACCGTACATCAAAAGCACTTAATTGTTTGAATCTGGTGGTCATGAAAGGTGCTAAGTAAATACAAGTCTTTCTTTTTATTTTCTAAGTCCTAACTTCCTCATTCCTACCCCATCCAAGAGACTTGGTCCAGATTACTCGCCCTAACTGCACCCACAACATTTGCTTACGATCAGTAAGGCGGTCCAACCCTGAAATGAAAATAAACATAAAGTGGTTTGAAGACCTGCAGAACCAGTTCCAACATTTTACTGTTGTTGAAAACTTTCACCTCCACCTGACAATTTGCTGTTTCAAGTTAACTTTTGGCTTTTCATTTTCCAGTCCATCGTTGCAATTAGATACAAAAATAAAAGCATGGATTTACGTAGCGCCTTTCATCACCTCAAGCAGTGAAGCATTTCTGAGGGTGTTGTCACTGTAGGAAACACCCACAGCAAGGTCTCATAAGGAGATAGTAAGTGGGTAACAGATAAGACAGTGTGGAGCTGGAGGAACACAGCAGGCCAGGCAGCATCTGAAGAGCCGGAAAGTTGACATTTCAGGTCAGGACCCTTCTTCAGAAACGGCGAGAGAGACAGGCTCACTGGTCTCCAGCACTGAGTGACAGTCTCATTCATCAATCAGATGGAATAACTGCACAGAAGCCAGCATCCTGTCACCAAGTTACCCTTTATTTACATGTGCTCTGACCAGCCGGCTCAAAGCCAGTCCCTGGAAGGAACAGCGCTTCTAAGACTACAGTTTATATCTGTCAGCCAGGGCTCCCTGATTGGCCCAGATTAACAGCCGCAATCAAAGATCTCACAGTCAATGAGATCCACTTGGCCCTGGTTCCAATCACTGCAGATTCTCTACACAAAGGCAGCGTGAAGGGTCCAGACCCAAAATGTCAGCTTTCCTGCTCCTCTGATGCTGCTTGGCCTGCTGTGTTCATCCAGCTGTACACCTTGTTATCTCTTATCTTCACAGTTGTTTCTCCAGGCAAATCTAAGATAAGTCAGCCTATGATCTGTTTAAACGATGTGCGAGAGGTGAAAATTAGCCATGATTCCTACTGTTCCTATTTGAATAGTGCTGAATCCATCCGCAACAGCGAATGGCACTGGGTTTATCCTTTCATCTAAAGATCATCACCCCTGACAACACTTCCCTGCAGTATGCAACAACCTGGTTTTGTGCTCCAATCTCTTGACTGGGGTTTGACTTGGACCTCAGACAGCGCTGCACAGAAGCCACTAGCATGTTCTGATATTCAAATACTTTGCAAACATGATCATGAGGTAATTTGAGAAACTTTTCAAACTTTGCATATAGTCAGTCTGCTACAGTATTGTGAATTGATAGAGGATATGTTGTGAAACCTTTCTTGGTTGAATACCTAAATGTTCCTAGATGCAAAATCCCTTCAAAATTGTCCCTGAATTTCCAAAGAATTTCTCATCCAGAGGTTTTCTTCAATTCCAAGTTTTGAAAGGATGGTAGGCAAGCCGCAATGGTAGTTGGTTAATTATGTGGTACTAAATATTTCTAAAAATTTAGAGTGAAGTTTCGAGAAGATAAGGTATTGAGTTTTTGAATGGTCATCCTGCATAATCTATAGTTGTAACTTTTGTAATAATCTGTGGCTTGTGACTATTTAGTCTGAATTTTTGTTTTGTCTTTTGTCCAAACATGTGTTAAAATGTCGGACAAAAGCACTGAATTTCAGACGGGAGGCCAGAGCAAATGGCCTTGACTTTGTTCACTTTGGAAGGGAGAACAAAAGAACAGAATATTATTTAAATGGAGAAAAACTGCAGAAAGCAGCAACACAAAGGGACTTGAGGGGGGGACTTGTACATGATACACAGAAAGGTTGCACACAGGCGCAGTTGGTAATCAGGAAGGCTAATGGAATGTTGAAACAAAAGCAGAAGTTGCTGAAAAGCTCAGCAGGTCCGGCAGCATCTGTGAAGAGAAATCGGAGTTAATGTTTCAGGTCCAGTGACCCTTCCTCAGAACAGTGGCCTTTATTTCAATTGGTTTGGAGTATAGAGTAGGGAAGTCTTAGCACGGTGGCTCAGTAGTTAGCACTGTTGCCTCACCAGGGATCTGGGTTCAATCCCACCATCGGGCGACTGTCTGTGTGGAGTTTGCACATTCTCCCTGTGTCTGCATAGGTTTCCTCCGGGTGCTCCGGTTTCCTCCCACAGTACAAAGATGTGCAGGCTAGGAGGATTGGCCATGCTAAATTGCCCGTAGTGTTCAGGGATGTGTAGATTAGGTGGGTTATAGGGGAATGGGTCTGGGTGGGATGCTCCGAATGTCGGTGTGGACTTGTTGGGCCGAAGGGCCTGTTTCCACCCAGTACGATTCTATGAACTGTACAAGATGCTGGTGAGACCACATCTGGAGCCCTGTGAGCTGTGTAAGCCCCAGTATTTAAGGAAAGATATTCTTTCACTGGGGGCAGTTCAAAGAAGGTTCATTAGGATGAACCCTGTTATGGAGTGATTGTCTTACAAACAAAGGCTAAATAGGTTGAGTGTTTGCGTCTATTTGAAGGGGAGCCGGAGAGTCGGGGAATTGAGGGTCATAGGGAAAATGCAGGAAGTTGGACGAGTGTCGGATTAGCATGATTCTATTGAATGACAGAGCAGGCTTGAGGGACTGAATGGCCTACTCCTGTTTCTATTTATGGACATCAAGGCAGCATTTGACGAAATATGGCATTAAGAAGATCGAGCAAAACTCAAGTCAATGGGAATCCGAGAAAGCTCTCTGCTAGCTGGAGTCATACCTAGCACAAAGGACGGTGGTTGTGATCAGAACACTACAGCACAGGAACAGGACCATTACACCGTTGGAAACCAAACACCTTAGCTCCAGGAGTTCCTCAGGGTTGTGTACTAGGCCCAACCATGTTCAGCTGCTCCATTAATGACCTTCTCTCCACCATAATGTCAGAAGGGGGGGATATTTAATGATAGTTGCACAACCAGCAAATTTCATGTATCGTCAGATACTGAAGCTATCTGCATCCAAATGCAGAAAAACCTGGACAATATTTTTCTTAAAATTCATTTGTGAGATATTGGCATCAGTGGCTGGACCAGAATTTATTACCTATCCCTAACTGCGCCGTAGGCAGGTAACAGTCAACCACATTGCTGTGTCTGGAGTCACATGTAGGCCACTCCAGGTAAGGACGACCATTTCCTTCACTGAAAGACATTAGTGAACCAGATGGGTTTTCCTGACAATCAGCAATGGTTTCATGGTCATTTCCAGAATATTACTCAATTCAAATTCCACCATCTGCCACACAAACCCAGGTCCCCAGAACATTAGCTGGGTTTCTGGATTAACAATCTAGCAATAATACCATTAGGCCATCGCCTATACCCACCCATCATCTAGCTTTGGGCTAATAAGTGGCAAGTAATATTTATTCCAGACAAGTGCCAGTAATGGCCATCTCCAACAGAACAGGAATCAAATCATTGCCTTTGACATTAAAGGACATTATCATCACTGAATTCCCAACTAACAATGTTCAGGGGAGCTTACCATTGACCAAAACCTGATTGGATCATCCATATAAATATTGTGGCTAAAAAACTAAACCAGAGGCTGGGAATTCTACAGCGTAAAGCTCACCTCCTATTTCTAAGCCCAAAGCACAAATCAGGAATGTGATGGAACACTCCCTACTTGCCTGACAGGTTCAGCTCCAACAACACTTGGTATCTTGACACCATCCAAAACAAAGCTGCATAACATATCATCTGCCACTTTCAATGTTCATTCTCTTCACTGCTCTACAAGATGCAATGCTGCAGATTATCACAGCTCCTTAGATGGTACCTTCTAAACTCATGAGCTCTGTCATCTAGAAATGGGTCATGTCCCCTGTGTCTGAGGCAGAAGCTCTGGGTTCAAGTCCCTCTCCAGAACTTGGCAAACAAAGAAGGCATGTACATAATTGTAAATTCTCCCAACAAGTATCAATGTTAGGCAGCAACAGCAGGCATGATGCCCAGTCAGTAACAAATTCACCAAAGATCCTCAGGCTGCACCTTCCGAACCAGCAACCACTTCTGTCTAGAAAGACAGGGGCAGCAGGTACGTGGGAACACCACCACCTCCAAGCCACTGACTTGGAAATATATTGCTATTCCTTCAGTGTAATTGGGTCAAAATTCCCTCCCTGATGACACTGCCCCCAAGGACTGCATTACATTCTCAAGGGTAACTAGGAATGGGGCAATACTGCTAGCCCAGCCAGTGATGCCTAAATTCCCAGGAATGATTGAACGAATGAATGATTGTGAACAGAGGGGGTGGGGGGGTTCAGTGTGGTGATCCACTACCACCCCACCACCCTTCCCTGTGGTAATGCACCCACCCTGTAATGATCCACCCCCAGTGATCAACTCCCCCAGTAATACCCACCATGAGTGATCCACCCACTCCCCCGCGTAATCCCACCGCACCCCCCCACCCCTGCGGTGGGTGACCCACTCCTCCCCCATTCCCACAGTAACCACCCCCATTTTCCCACAGTAACCACCCCCATTTTCCCACAGTAACCCACCCCCCCATTCCCACAGTAACC